GAGTGAGTGTCAGCCTGGAGATCCATCCAGCATCCATCCAACAACACAGGGCACCCCCTAAACAGGGTCCAACCCAACAGCTCACAGCACCCCTAAGAAAGTGGAAAAGCTGCGATTCCCTGGATTTCTCTCTCCACGGCAGATCCAACCCAGCGATCTACCACAGCTTTGGGCTCCCGCTGTTCATCCTGCCACGAACAGCATTCCCAACCTCTCCCTGAGGCGCTCCCTCCTCTACTGGGCAGCAGCCTGGGGCCACCACTGCGGCGTGGCGGCGCGGAGCCTCACCCTGTGCGCTCCCAGGGGGATGCAGAGCGGCTCTCCCAGGTGGGCCAGCCTCAGCAGGGCGATGCCCAGCTCTCCTCCTCCGGCGCGGAAGGTGCCGGCGCGTTTCCCCGCCGCGGTGAGGATCTCGGCGCCCTCGGGAAGGCCGGCGGCGGGGAGCGGCTCCGGGAAGCTGACGGGCAGCAGGCGCTTGCGGATCACGCCCATGTGGTGCGTCCTGGCCGTCAGCTCCTGCCCGATGTAGCAGCCCTTGGTGAAGCTGATGCCGTTCATGAAGGCCAGGTTGGATTCCAGAGGGAGGGCGACGCCAGGGGGGAGATCCTTCACCCCTTCAGGAATTCCTAGGGGGAGAACAAAGCCAGCAGGTTGGCGCCTTGGGAAGGCTGGCCTAGAGCAGAGGCTGGACTGAGCTAAAGAATAAAGCAGGGTGTGGCTTTTGGGGGTCACTTACGGCTGTCCCCCATCCCTCCCCGGCCCCCCAGGACCCCTCTGGCTAGCTGTCCCCTCCGGGGACCGGGATTTGCTGTGGTTCCGCTGTTGGCACGGTCTGAGCACCGGCATTGCCTCGCACACCGCAAAGATTCGGGATAAAGAGACAAAGAGAGTCCAGAGAGATTGTATTGCCTGAATGGTTGCAGGGACAAAAGACCCTGGGTTACTGCCCAGATGCAGTTTTATACAGCAAAATTAAGATATAAGGTCTAAACAATAGAGACAGTGTCCAGCCCGGGCACATCAGAACCACCCCAGGGGTCAACTCCAGTGGGAACTGCTCAGGGGTGGGGAGAAGGGGGTTACAGAAAAATGCTGAAGCAGGACTTTCCCGAAACAATGGGGCATACAGAAATGTATCTTTTCCTCAGTTTCCCATTCCCAAGGCCTTTCTAAAACCCTTCCTCCACACCACTGCACCAGCACAGTAGCAACACCTCCCTCTTCTTTACTTAATAAGACGAACGGTGCCTTGGGAAAAGGTAAAACTGTGGCTCTCAAACTGCAGTGTCGTTCTGCTTGGCTTCCATGGATCCACCTTGGGCAGCACCAAAGCCCAGCCAGGGCTGCACCCAAGATGGACCAAAATGGTCCCAAAATGTTGCTGCAGGCCCCCAGCTGGGTAATAATTAGGATTGACTCTGTGATTGCAGAAGGCTGATCAACTGCTTCATCATATCATCCTATACTATATTATACTACTATACTATATATTATGCTATATTATGCTGAATTTCATACTACTACACTATATATTATGCTATATTATGCTGAGTTTCATACTACTACACTATATATTATACTATATTATGCTGAGTTTCATACTACTACACTATATATTATACTATATTATGCTGAGTTTCATACTACTACACTATATATTATGCTATATTATGCTGAGTTTCATACTACTACACTATATATTATACTATATTATGCCGAGTTTCATTAAGAAACTCAGCAACCCTTGCAGGCAGCCCGATACAGCTTTGACCAATCGACCCAAACACCATCCAGTGTCCAATTAAGGAATCACAAATCTCCATGGCACACTCCACATGTGCACAACAGCAGGTTGAAGTGGAGATAAGAATTGTTTCTCATTCTTCCCTCTAATCTTCTCACAGCCTTCCCCAGGAACATTCCTGGGAAAGTCTGTGCCTGCTCTCTGTGGCCAGGGAGCTGCTGCCACAACAAAATGCACGAGCGCTCCCGGGGTCTCTCATTTTTATCAGTTCTGCTCCATTGGCACCCTGGAGTTCATTGTCCCATTCCAGCTCCAGCCCAGGCAGTCCCATCCTGCTTGTTTTTCTCTCTCCAGCCCACGCTGTTTGTGCTCCTGGGCTGAGGTTTGGATCATTTGTCCTTGGTGCCCAGCTGGAGC